GAGCCTTTCGCAATTAAGCCTCGCTTTTAAACTGCGGCCTCTCGGTGCGTTTCCACATGCCACCCAAATTCCATAACAGTGCTGCTTTATGCTGCAACACACCCTGCCAACACTTATCATATCAGCGTGTTGGACTGGAGGGAGCCAGCCGTTTGTTAAAGCTCACATTTTCAGACACGCTGGAACACAGACTCACCCACTCTGTCAGATGGCATCGGTCTGGTCTTGCATAAAACAAAAAAAAGAAAACCTCGAAATCTTAGACATGTATCAGAACAAGGCAGAACTCTGTCTAGCCTGCCACCGCCCCCACCCATCTTATACACACACCCCACCACTGCCACTGACCCCCATCACCACCATATGCCAAAAATTATCATACAAGTTTCTCTTTGTATCCATATTTAAACATGATGGAGAAGAATTGAGCCTTTATATGAGGGGGAGGTTGTGTGTTTATCCAGCAGCGCCAGCACCAGGAAACAAGAGAAAGCCCCCATTGCTGCTGGTGGAAGCAGGAAAGGGTCGGAGACTGCTGGGCTGGGGAGGAGGGGGGAGGAGAGGTGAATGGAGAGGGAGGAGCGAGAGGGTGAAGTAAAAGAAAGTCTTTGAGTGACAGTAATTTGGGAACCGAGGCTTTTTATGATTCCCCTGCTTTTGGGAAAACATACAGACTTCTGGGTAACGCACTTGGGACCAAATCAAAGACGTCTTTTACCATCAAAAGATTTGTGTGACTGTGTGTGTTTGTGAAGGTGAGTGTGTGAGAGTTTGTCTGCATGTGTGTCTGTGAGCTGAGTTTGCAAAGGTAACACAAACATAAAATTACACACATCAACAAAACAATCTGAGAAGTCCTTGCAGTAAACAAGATGAATCCTCACAGGATGCAAGACAATTAGAAAAGTAGAAAACGTGAAAATTTAAGATCTGTATACAGTCTCCACAACAATCCACTTAAATCTGACGCTCTTATCACTCAGATTTTTAAACACAGGACCTATTTCCATCAGTACATTTATCATTTATAAATACAAAACTTCTCATCCAAGTGTTAAAACATTTTGGAGTTGTTTTATTTTTAGTTTAAGTGTTTCCTCTATTTTTTTAAGAGCGCACTGAAATGTGATATGATTCCAGAAACAGATGGATAAAACCTGATAGCATTTCCTTCACGCTGTTGACTGTTGAGATTTTAGTGCTGGTTGCAGAGATGGGGACTCAAGTTTTCAAAGACTCGACGGCTTTGGGACTGTTTTCATTTTTTTGTATTTTTGGCTCATAAACACAAACATTGAGCTGAATGTCATTCCCTTCTGAGATGACTAAGTTTACATATCTGGTGCATGAGCAACCTAACTCCATAGATGACACCGTGGTGAGCACATCCTCTTGACAGGCTGCCAAAGTATTTTTACTGAACATTTATGTTTATTTTGTCATCTATAAAAGCTGTTCGATCAATAAGTACATCATCTCCTCTTGCTCCTCTTGTTGTAAATAGCCTTTTTTCATGTCCACAGGTGATCAGAGAGAGACAGAGACTAGTCTTTTAGCAGCATGTGTAATGTTATGAATGAGTTCAACCTCACAAATCAACTATAAACCTTATACAAGTTTTGTGCAGCTTGTTAAAGTCCCACTTCGAGTTTTATTTTTACTACTACTAGTGTTCTCAGTGGTCTTTAAACTGTGATTATGACGTTTTTAGCCAAAATCATGTTACCTGTGTCGTTTTCAACTTCTTTTGATCTGCAAAGCTCGAGTAGATCATTAGCAATTCGCCTCTGAGTCATGGGCCGAGACAGCGCAGCTCTGCACACTTCTCCTTGAGTTAGCTTGCAGCCTGACATTGCCGGTGTAGTAGACGAAACTAGGGCTGCAACGATTAGTCGACGTAATCGATTACGTCGACACGACAAATTCATCCACACGAAAACGAAGCGTCGACACATCGTGTTATTGTTGTTAAGAATCATATGCTGGCGCCTCATGCTCATCTATAACTGCAGTGCACTACAGGATGTGCTGGGGGCAGTAGCGCTCACTGTTTACATCCCGCAAGCAAACACAGAAGAAGAGTGCATACATTATGGCAGAACAAACTGAAAAAGACGCTCCAAAACTCCAACCCAAAACTTCAAAAGTTTGAGAACATTTTACAAAGAACAAACCAAAAAAACACGTTAATCAAAGCTCAGCTTTACTACCATGGCAGCACCACGGCGATGCATGAGCACCTGAAACGCCTACACCCCGGAAATAGGTGTTTATAAATAAAGAAGATAGTGATTAATCGTGATTAATCGGACGACTAGTCGACAAAAAAATAATTGTTAGTTGCAGCACTATACAAAACAGGTAACATAGCGAATATCATAATTAGCTTCTTATGAGCATTTTAATCCGCTTATGCGGACACTTGTTCCGCGATTGTCCTCTCTATTCCTCCGAGCCTGGCCTGCATAGCGGGGCTCTGGGGGCGGAGCTTGGATTGGTTACATATGAAATCTCACTGTATCTGATCCTGCTGTTTGGGTCTGCCAGCGACTCACAGCAATTTGAATGAAGAAATACTCAGAAATGCAATTTCCCACTTATTTTTCTTATGATGTGTCCTCCAGTATCAGAAAATTGCCATATGGACATGTAGACAACAAGAAAAACATGATTTCCATCAGAGTGGGTCTTAAAAAAAAAGTCTTATACAGGCATTTTTCTACAAATGTGCAGCTAATGAGTAAAGATCAGATATGGAGACGGCTGTGGCTCAGTAGTTTGTTGACTTCCAGTCAGAAGGTTTGAGTTGATCCCAGGTCCCGCTGTCCACATGCCAAAGTGTCCTTGGGCAACACACTTGACCCCACCTGCCCCTGCTGGCCAAGCCCAGCGGTTTGTGTTTGGGATCAGCCAAAAACTGATGAGCTCTGTACACAGCCTCTGCCACCAGTGCTAGAGAAAGAGCTGTATAAACATGACCCATTTACCTTATGAGATAGGCAGAAACAGTAGAGAAAAAGGAGTTTACCTGCTGCCTCAATAGCTGTGTTTACATGGGCACAAATAATTGGAATAAATGCCCGATCAGAATAAAAATGCTTCATGTAAACATGTCGATCGGAGGATTCTGATCCAATTCGGCGTTTGTAAGAAATTATATTCCGATCGAGAGGGGTGGTTCATGCCAATTGTTATTTCAAAATGCGTCCATGTAAACACTTATTCCGATCCTCTCATACCTGACTTGATCTTCACTCTTTAGCCTTTGGTTTATTTATTGAGGCCAGTACAGGAGGTTTCATTATTAACACTCCGGCATTAAACACAACCGCAGGTGCCATCGTATCTGTGCCTCCGGTAACAAAACAAGACGTACATACAGCGTAATGATGTCACATCTGCATACACAGTGCAACCTTTGACAGAACTGTAAAATAAGTAAGCAAGGGCACCATCTAGTGACAACATTTAACGGGGGGAAACTCCTGAATTGGATGAAATGAGCCACTACCGCATTTGTTGGTTTGTTGACAGCACAGGTGTAAATACAATTCTTCTTCTGTGGTTGTTTTAATGAAATCAGACAACTCTGCTTATGTATACGCACGTAATAATCGGATCTTTTGATTTTGCACCCAGATAAACAGTGGATTCAGATTATCCAATCCCTTAAATTTCTAATCAGATCAAGAAATTTTGCACATGTAAACATAGCTATGAGCGCCATAATTCACCCTCAAAATTTTATAGTAAGTGCAGGTGAGAGCAGAAGTGTAGAAGAACCTCGAGGGAGAAGACGGGAACAACCTCAAACTTTGACAGACATCTTTCCAGCACACACCCTGAAAGGTAAAATTACTGGACTGTTAATGACACTACTCTTACCCACCATAACAGTCCAAGATGTTTGGTTATTCTAATTTACAATACATCTAGGGTTGCAACTTAAGTGATGGTATAAATCTTCAAACACTTTAGCAGGACCAGTCAGAATCCATGTTTTTTAACACATCCAGAAAGTCCCACACTGTCAGCCAAGGTTCAGACAGTGAATAGTTTGGAGTGAAACAGCACTTCTCTTTATAAATCTTCAAATAATGGAGACTTGACTTGGATAACATTCAGTTTTTCTCTCAGATGACTCAAACTTGACTCATACTTTAACACCGGGGACTTAAGACTTGACTGGTTACTCAGTTGCAACACTGTTTGGAGTAATATTGCCGCTTGCTCTCTCTTGACGTAAATTTTTGTTCACAGTGTCTCCCCCTTCCTCTGAGTCATCTAAACTTTTCCCACAAACTCTGAAAGAAAAGAGACTCTCTGAAGTTTACCCTCATTCTTCTCTAAGAATGTGGTGCACATAGATCAGACTTACAAAAACTAAAAACAACAAATTACCACGTGATTATGACTTCAGGCACAATTGACTTCATTTCGCTAAACAGACTTAGTAATTATTAAAACATTGTGTCTTCCTGTTTTTTTCATGCACAGCGTGTTTTACGGCACTAGAAAGGTTCTGCATTGATAGTCGCATTAGCTTGTCAGTCCAGCCCCTTTATTGAGAAACTGACAACAGAAACAAGAAGCTTAGTGAACTACTATTTTCAACAGACATGCTCGACTCTGACCCAAGCGCTCATCCCCATTTTAGTGTAAGCTGTACCCCCAAATTCTTCAGCACTTTGCCATTAAACAGCCCATTTCATTTCAATTTTCTGCAGTAACAAGACACACAGATGTGGTCTTTCACATGCTGCAGGATTAACTCATCGGATAAATGATTTAAAGAATAAGAGAAGAACTTTTTTAATCCCCGAAGGAAAATTCAATTGTCTGTTGTCTCACATAATATGTCTCTAAAAGTTATCTACTATTTACACAAGAGTTATACAGTCTGATGGTTGTTGGTAACAAAGATCTTTTGAATCTTACTGTCCTGCAGCGAAGAGAGAGGAGCCGTCCACCACCGTTGGCCCTTTGGTCCATCAAGGTGTCCTGTCTGCTGGGTGAGAGACTTAGCAGCAGCAGCAGCAGCAGCAGCAGAGCAATCTGACCAAAAGCTTGTCAATCCTCGGTACTTCCACACTCAAATTTTCCCAAGTGAGTTGTGAGGGTCATCATGCAACATACAGAGTGATATTTTGAAAAAAGACAAGAAAAGAGAAGTGATAATGGAGACTTGAACAGCCACCAACACCAAGCTGAAGGAGGCTAGCAGCAGCCAGCCACCACTAGACCTCAGCAGGCAAGCCACCACCAAAGCTCCAGGAGTCCAGCCAACACCAGAAGACCAGCTTTCATCCCAGGAGGACAGCAGCCACCAGGACCGGCAGGCCTCAACCACCACCGGGCCCAGTAGGCCTCAACCACAACCAGGCCCAGGAGGACAGCCACCACCGGGCCCAGTAGGCCTCAACCACCGCCAGGCCCAGGAGGCCAGCAGCCACTACCAGGTCGACAAAAAGTGAGTGATCCATGTTCTTTAGAATAGTCTCCACCTTCCTTAGTGTAGATCTCTCCACCAGTTTGTTCAGACATCTTGCATCTTTGTGTTTGAGTGTCCTCCCCAGCAGACTGCAGCGTAGAACAGAACAGCCACCACAGACTGATAGAACATCTGCAGCGTCTTACTACAGATGTCACTGATAGATTATGAATTTTGATATTTTTGCATCTCAGCTTTACATGATGTTAAGAACCATACACCCAAGATTACAGAGCTGACATAGTGATGTGTGTATAGTCTGATTTTTCACCTCAGTCTTTCACTTCAGCAGCTAACACAGGGTATTCTGATAAGGTCCACAGATCTTGTTGACCATGGATTGTGTCGTTATGCTAAAAAAGCTGTTTCCTTATACAACTCCTGAATGTTGGAGAAAGTTGGAAAAAGAAAACAGTTGAGTTCACTTGAGTTGGTGACTGTTGCAGATTGCAGCTTTATGTAAATTGCTGGTATATTTGATTTCCCAAAGATCTAGAGGTGCTGTTGTTGTCAAGTCTTACTCATGACAATAAGTCGTTTTCTTAGTTTGTGAGTAATAGGTGACTTTGGATACCTCTGCTCTGTGGTTCACAGTTTTATCTGTTTTTTTCCCTCCTTGCATTGAGCTATCTTTTCTTTCTGTAAACCATGATCCATTAAGGTGTTCAAGATGCTTGTTATTTTATGAGGTCAAATTTTTGACTTGAGGCCTCAGCTCAGTTCACTTCTCTGTGTGTGTAGTGTCCACAAATAATCAAATTCAGATGGGATTTCATGAGGACAAAGTGCTGAAAATTTCTGGGTGGCACAAACATTTAAACATTAAACCTATCTTAGGTTGGGTCTTGATAATTCATCAAACAATGAGCATGGTCTTGACCTGCACTTTTTCTTTGGAAAGCGTCCTGGGATGACGACTGTTGTGAATTGGCGCGATATAAATAAAATTTGATTGATTGATTGATTGATTTAAATAAAGTTGAGCAAAATTGGGCCAAAGTCCGCTCAATTAGCTAGCACACCTCCCCTCTTGTATCTACTGGTGGTTTCCCAATAAAGGTGAGCAGCATTTATTGTGGCTTATACAGTTACTGGTGTTATGAAACCCTTAAAACCTCATCACGTGAGAGTAAACTATGGCTAACTGGACATGCTATACTACCCACATTGAATGGTAGTTGGCACAGCATCTGGATGAAAAACCTAACCATAGTCTAGCCTTGAAAGAAAGTTCTAGCTGTAGAAAATGAATCTCATTAAAAAGGATAATCACTTATATAAAAGCACACTTGATTTTTAAATATTCATCAATTGATTATACAACCTTCAAACTGAAACTCCTTACATTCTCTTAAAGGCTGCTATGAATAGAAGTTTTCTACTCATAGTCTCTTTAGGCCATGAAACATCCTGAAATTATGAGCCAGCAAATTATTGAGAGTGGAACAAAGCATAACAAAGTGTAAGAATGTGAGGGTTTGTAAATGGTCTCATTGATGGATCTCTGCCTTCACCCATGTCAAAACAAAGCCAGAACTGAATGGGCCTCCTCATGACCCCCTGGCCTCTGTTCCACGTTCAGGACGTTCAGGAAGGCCTGAGGTTTGGAGGTTTCTAACCACAACGACCTTCTCACTCCTTGTTGCTTTATTTCTAAGCTTTTTTTATCCAAAATGAGACATGGGATAAATTACGCTGACTATGAAGGGCCCTCTTGTTCACTTAAAATAATAAGGAAAGGATACCCTGGTGGAGAACTTTGCAGTAATTTCACCAGTTAGTGTGTGAGTGTGTCTCGGCTAAGGAGTTGGCTGAGGGGGACTGAGCAGAGAGAAGTAGCAGGACAGCCTGTCTCATTTCCTGCATGATGGATGAGCCTATTAGCTGTCCAGTGTTAGCCCAAGGTTAGCCTTACACCTCGGTCCCTTGATACACACACACTAATAATTATGGAAAATGAGGAGACATGGAAAGATGAATTGCAGAGGTGACCAAAAACCCCAAAATGTTTAAATGAAAAGTTACAGACATAACCGGTGGGCTATTATAGAGTAATGGAATTGGTTGCTATGTGAACATATGCAGACTATTTTAATTATCAACCAATTCTCCAAAACTCCTGTGATAGATGAGCGCTTCTGTTTAATTCTGCTTTCCTGTTTTTCTGCTTCTATATTCAACTTAAGTCCGTACTTTAAGGATTGTGAAAGTATTCCTAAATAAAGTTGAGTAGATTCAAAATAATAATGTGACACTGCAATCCTTTGGTTTTGATGTACGCAGTCTATCACACCCAGATGATTTCACAGAAAATGACTTGCATACTGAACAAAGTTAATACTCTAATTCTGTTTTACACATTTTTCTATAAGATTATATTGTAATATCATAATTTCTCACCAAAGAAACAAAAAGGGCAAAAACTAAAGAAGTTAAAGGTCAATAGAAAAAGTACGTAAAGTAAAAAGTACCAAAACTGGTCTGTGTTAACAGATGGCAAACATATAATCAAATGAAAACCTGCTAACAGGATGAAAATCTAATTGACTAATTGAGTTTTGATCTGGAAATTTTGGAAAAAAATAAATCCAATGCAAAGCACTGTTGCACTTACTGTATATTATATTATATTATATTATACTATATTATGAATTGTGGGGTCTTTTCACCCATACAGCACTCTTCAAGGTTTATTTATTTGATAGTACACCACCATTTTTGTAGATGTTTGTTCTTACCTGATGAAAATTTGAAAAAGCCAGTTTCATTTTAGTAGCCTTAAAAAAGTCTTCACATCCAAAAAACCCTGCAAAACCAGTGAAACTTGATTTTTCAAAACTCAACCAAAATCCATTTTTAATGAACCAGGACTCTTTATTGAATTTCCCTTTAGGGATCAATAAAGCTCTGCTTCTTCTCTTTTCTGATTTAAAACATATTAGCATGGTACATCGGCTACATTCCCATTCTCATGCATATTTATTAGCACCCCTCACCTCCATGCACATTTCCACATTAACCCTACCCTCTGGTGTTGAATGTTTCTGAAGGAGTCCACCTGATTCCCTCATCCATCCACAGGTTAAAAATAGGACTCATTTGACGCACCAGTATAGAGGCTCACAGGGTGGGCCAACGGGGGGCGGGCTGGGTTTTCCAGGAGGCGATGGAGGGTCAAAGATAGTTGATATCCTTGTGCTTGTCCTCTCACTGCTCTCTGTCTCTATAAGCCCCTCTGCCTCTCTGCTGCCAGCTTTCTCTCACATGCAGTTCTGCCCTCACTTTCTTTTCTTTTTTTTTTTCTTTCTTTCTTCGACTCTTTCTCTCTGTCGGCCCACCATGTGTCCCCCCTCACTCACTCGGTGCAACATGTGTCACTCGCACTCTCTCTGGCATGTGCTCTGTCTCTCATGCACTCTCTCGTCCTCTCTCTTTCTCTCTCTCCAGCTGACAGCATGTAATTGAAATGGTCAAACGCATGAAAACATGACAAATGGTTTGAGGTATTTCTGCTTCATCATCACCATTGCAGAGTCTCTCTCTCTCTTTCTCTTTCTCTCTCTTTCTCTCTCTCCCCCCTCCCTTCAGCTGGGGCTCGGTTGACAGCTTGTAACCGAACTGCTCCAACACATGGCATATGGTACAAGATATTTGTGCTTCATCATCATAATTATGATGGACCCTGACTTTTTTCCCTCCCCCTGACTTATCTTGGCACTTGGCTGCAGCAAAGAATGAGTCAACGTGTTAATGTATGAATGATGATTCTTTGGCCTGCAAATGTTATATTTCCCAACAGAGAGCCCCTGAGAAACGGGATACACAGATTAACAAGATGAAAGAAGATCAACTAGATTAAACGCAGAGTCTAAGTGTACAGGGAACAAGAAATTGATTTTAAACCCTGTCTTAAGACAGAGTATATCATTTTTGGCTCACGGTGTGTGATCACTGCTGATCCACCTCTTAAACTAAACAGGCCTGGAGGATCTAACTTCCTGGTGCCATGTTAGAAGCTTCTTCTGGTAAGAAAACAGAGATAAAAAAGTGATTAGAGACAGAACGGGACAGGAGGAACCATGCTGGGCTGCAGGTCTGGGCTTGATCACAAAGTGTCAGGCCTGACAGTTAACACGACACACTGATAACACTGGATGGTCACTCAGTGTCACTCAGGTCGACAAACCTCACGTGACATGATGTTTCTTCACAACAGGAGTGTGGTGTTATTTCTGGAAAGACTTGTTATTAATGTATGAATTCCAACTTATCATATGTGTTAAACTTACTGCAGACTTCACAGTTGGTTTGAAAATAAAACATAGCAGACATGGGGTTGGGTCAAAAGGAGGGTTAGATGTTTTGAAAAATGAGCTTTAGACACGCTCACCAGTGGATTTTGTAACTGCTCATAAGGACTAGGAAAGCACTTTATCTCCTGTTTCAAGCCTCTCATTAACTCAAGGCTAAAATGAAAATGATTGAGTTTTACTTCTCAGGTTTTAAAGCTGTTTCCTAAACACTTGATTAAGAAATCACTGCTACTTGAGTTAAGTCAGGGCCACCGTTCTTGAACAATGCTTTACTTTTTTACATGTTTTTTTCTTTTTGTATATTGACATTAGATGTCACGTCTCTGCTTAGGAAGGTCACATTCCTGGTGCCACTTGTTCATCTGCAGTGTCACTGAAAGATAAGGGTAACACAAGTTGTGGAAAGAGTATAGCATGGACCAAAGACAAACCATCAAGGTTTTGGATCAGACTTTAAACAAAATCCAAAAATAGCAGAAATTATATATGCGTGTAGTATATAAAATAAAAACATATTTTGTGAAATGAGAAGTATATGGAGTGTTTGCAACATAGAAAAATGTTCAAAATAACAGAGTTGGTGGCACTTCTTTACAATAAACTGAACAATTTACTTTCTCCCAAAAAGCTGAATTTTTTTACATTACATTTCGATAAGGAGGCTTAAACAATCATCTGTTTTTACTACGAATGAAGGCCACACAAAACATTTGGAAAAGTCTTCAATTTCATTAAATAATGTGTAAGCTACCAGGTAGTTTTTTTACTCATATTTGAATCTACCTAAAATAAAAAGCCTTCACTTTAGAGGCTTTTCTTTCAAACAGTTACTTCACAGTACATTGTAATGCAATAAAACTGTTGCACACAGTGAGCCAAGTGGTTCCTAATATTCCCCCTCATCACATGTTTATCACATTGCTTTGTCTATTTGTGCTGTGAAGTCCTTCTCTGATCAAAGTATCAGTTGATCCAGGGTCCAAATAAAGAGCTGTGGTTAGACAGTCATTTGTGTCTTTTCGTCTCACGATGCACTACAAAGCATCACATGCAAAGTTAAATCATGTCGTCCCAGTTTTATTGCTGCTAACTCATGTTGATAATGACTTGATAACACAACACTAAAGACAATTACACGCACAGGTATGTCAGAAGGGAACGCAAAGTCTGGACTATCAACAACTGCTTCCTGCTGCCAAATACATAATCAAGTTGTTTTGGTATCTCCAGGTATCTAAAGCAGCCATCTTTCAGCTATCCCAAGCAGCTATCTTATGTCTCTGTCCTCTCCGACATCAGACAGGGATTGGACAGTGAGAGGCAGACAACACTAGATACGCTGATAGTGCCGGGGTCTTGTTTTCCCATGTGCGTTGCCAGGATGTGATGTATAAATAGGCACAGAGCTGTTTGTGTGAGTGCCGGCTCAAGTTATGTGGCTATAGCTTGATAGGGGCTGCTCATGGCTGCGAGGCCTCGGCTGGGCGGGCAGCTATGATGGGTCGGACTGTCGGTGTCTTCTCATGTCCTGAGATCTGAGAGGCCTCTCCCAGGAGGTGGTGACGGGCAGCAGAAGGGCACGGATTCAGAGTATTTTGGTGTTAATTGAGCTTATTGGCCTGCTATTCACAGCCTTGACATGTGATTGATTTAAAGGCCAGTGTGAGAGTGCGACAGGGCTGACCTCTCTGGTGGCGGCTTCTCAGATATGGCTTCAGGACTGCACAGCTGTGAGGAATAATCCTCTCCCCTCACTTTTTTCAAAGAAGAGCAGGCAATCTGCCCTCCTTCAGTATTTTATTAGTTTTTTCCATTAACAGAGACGAAAGAGGGGAGAAGGGTGAGAGAGAAATGTAAGGGCTTGGTAGGAGGGCTGAGACTTGAACCTTTGAACCTTCAAAAGGGTTTCCAAACTGGTGCACGAGTTGCACTAATAGCTAGTACACATTTCGCAGCACCTGTTTCTCCTGTTTCATGTTCATGTGCAAAGATTAAAAACTTTAAAGCAATGATGGAAAATTTTTCCAAATTTTCCACATCTAGCTACATGATTACATTAATACCAGTTTCATGATTGAAGACAACCAGAAAGATTTTGCTAGTGAGGGACTCTTCCGCCCAGGACATTTTTTTTTTTCTTTTGGGATAAAAATTACTCAAATAAACACTTCGATCAGACACTCAACCCTTATTACCATCATTGTGTCCCACTTTTTTCGTTTTACGATGGTGGGCACTTTTAGTCACACTGGTATAATGTCATACTATTAAGGGTACGATTGGCAATTTAAGCATGTACACACTAGGGTGACCATATTCTGAATCCCCAAAAAGACAAAACGACTACACGGGGGTGGAGTCTTGGAGTCCTGCGTAGTAAATTTTGAGTTTTTCTGGTCGGGTCGAGTGTTTTTTATGCGCCTCAAACTCAGTAAGTCCATGCGACACAAACTCAAAACAAAACCCAGGACACTTGAAGGATTTAATGTACGGGTAAAAGAAAACATATGGTCACCCCAGTACACACCAGATCAGAATCAATTATACAGCATGTAAATAGAAAACACAAAATTTTCCATGGGAATGATTTTTAGTAGCCCTTTAACGCCTGAAAACCACAAATTATGGACAGAAAATTAAAAAAATTTTGGAGCTAAAAAGTTTTACCACTGAAAACCAAAAAAATCAAAATGTCCTTAAAATTTAACAAATCTATTATTTATCTCATTTGATACATTTGATGTTTTTGGAAACTAATAAACTAAAAGAGGACATTTTTATCATTTATCTGACTGTATCCGGGTGCTTTTTTTAGAAATTTGTTGATCATATTGATTTGATAGAAGTATATAAAAATATGTATCAAATATGATAGAAAGGCATTAAAGGGTTAAAATAGCAAAATGAAGTCATGTAAACACACCTGGAGAAAACAATACCACCTAAAAGCACCTCTCTTATTTACATGTTAATATTAGGTTTGGCTTGTAACAGTCTGCTGCTGTCAAATTTGCAGCAAAAAGCACCTGTAGTACTCCAGCATGTTATATACAGTGAGTCTGATACTTTCAGACAGCAGATGAAGCAAAGTCAACATAAAACGTTGTAAAACAACCTCTAGAGAGGACGAGGCAGCTCATTCCTTCCTGTCTACAAGGTTTAAATGCTAAGCTAAGCTAACAGGCTGCTGTCTATGTTTTATTTCTCAGACATTAGAGAAGCATTAATCTCCCTGGGCAAAAATATGGAACTCTTAAACCAAATCCCAAAACCCAAATACCTCACCCCTTCTCTCAGTATGATTTCAAATAGCAAGAATGCAGAACTTTTCCTGGGCATGTTTGACATAGAAGTAAACCTTTGTATGTTTTTCCATTCTGTAAGTGCAGTCTCTAAAGCTGATTGACAGGCCTTGGCAAAATAAACGGCAACTGCAAGTGTTATTTCAAGTCAGATATGCTACTTGTTCCTTTAACCTTGCTCACTCCACCAACCCCCTCAGTCCATTTTTAGTCCTTCCAGTCCAGCCCGGCTGACACTCTGAAGTCGTTCACTAGCTGCACCTCGACACATAGTGATATATAGTCAATCCCAGCTCCCTCTGATGCAAGACACAGAGAAATCATACGCACAGGAAGTAGAATTTAAAATCTCCTCAAGTTATATAATTTCAGTAAACAGATATTGGCTCATCTTAAATCCTCTCGGAGAAATTCAAACTATTTCAAAAATAAAACATCATTGTTTAGTTCTCCCTTCCCCAAAAACGTTATCTCTAAATATTTCTAAATCCTCTGACCCCACTTTCCCTCAGTGCAAAGCCTCAGCCATTCAAAACACCCCCACCCCTCTCTGCTCTGGCTGTATGACCCTGCAGTAGTATTGCTTTCAACTACATTGCTCCCCAAGGACACCCGAGAGTGGACCTGAGCGTGCCCAGAAACTTCAGCCTTTAAAAACAAAGCACAGACATTTTACTGTTCCAAACCGAGCCATTCAGCATCACCTCTTCCAGTGCAAACACCCGCATATCGCACACAAGACATGCATAAACAGACACACATCATTAGTTTGTTTCATTTTCTTTCACATGATTTAGGAGTATAATGTTCCTCCAAATATCCCATATTTGTTGAACTCTTTACTTTGACCTCTTTGTTTTCCACAGATTTATCTTTTTACACAAACACTTTGCACACTGTTGATGCGTGATAAATCCCTCTTACAGGAACAATGTCTCACAGAAAATCCTCTGAAAATGTTTCCTCTAGTTGGTACCTCACATTCAGCACATACTTACAGTCTTGCAGCAGAACCACAGTGTGTTGACTTAATGAAAAGTATGAATAAACATCCTGGAGTTGACACACAGTTGTACTCTAAAAGTTAAATATGGACCCTTCACGCTAGTCGGAGGGACTGTGAGAAAACTTTATCACAAATCTTCCTCGCTCTTCCCATTGAGGACGATTCAGAGTAAACATCTGTAACTCTATTTTTGTATTTCTCTGTTTGTTTTTAGTTGATGATTCAGCTGCAGGACTGAAACCCTACAGACCTCTTTCCCACAAGAGCAATTTTGAACTTATGTCACAGTCAGGGTGGGATAGTTCAGAGCAAGGCCAGCTGTTGTGCACCAACTGTTGAGCCATCAGTTCTCAGCAAACTAATAATATTATCATCTCATGATAGACATATATCTGCAGAGTTTATCCTTATTAAGTGGTTTTAAATTTACCAGATATGAAATATAAATCAAGCACAGAGAAACTTCAATGTAGTTGAATCTGAAAATAACATTTTTGCTGGAGAGGCAGATGCAATCAAATCTCACTTTTAACCACTTCAGTTTCACAGTCCTGGTCTTTTTTATCATATCTGCTATACAAAGACTTTCTGCTGTGTATTGAGAGACAAAATCATCTGACTGAAAGGGGTCTGTCATTCATGCAGTAGTCACACACATTCACTAAATCCCAAAAAATTAACCGCAGCAGGTGTTGGTGGAGATATTTGAAATATCTGAAAAATGTGTGACCCGAATGCAACAAATGTGCCCCCTAAATGAAGCTGCTTTATCCCAAGCAGCAACCTCCGATCTTGAAAAATGAAACTAATACGAAAGTACTAAAAACCTCAGATCCTCGAGTGCCTGCTTGGGGCTGGATACATCTGGTTATTAGCCTACTGTGTATGCTCTGCACTCTTTGCTGCTCATTCTTGTTCTTTTCCATTCAGTATTCATTCACACTTTACATCCTTTTGTTTTACAGCTAGCATAAATACAGGCCCCCCCAAAAAAAGGATTCAAAAATTCCTTTTCCAACCTCAAAGGACACCCCCTACCAAATCCAACAGGGAGCACTTAACAAAGTGAGGGGACATGTGTGAATTATTTCTCTGCAGAGGCTCCAAGAAGTTCTGGGTTACCAGTGAGAAAGTACCTAGTATAACAAGTTTGAAATCTCCACAGCTTAAAGGTCCTTACACACAGGGAACGACGCAAATATATGACACGAAATTACGAAATACTCTGAGGCGAATTTTGACGCGCCTGACTATACATGTCAAGCGCGATGCGATTTTGCGACTTTCCAGGGGGGAAAAAAGACACGTCCCCAGTGGAAGCGAGAAGACTGACACAACAGCAGACTGACTGTTTTTCAGTTCTGATTAGACACTAGTGTTGAGATGTCTGTCTGTCATGATAGCATGTACTGAGTCGGGGCCAGTACCAGATAAACACATTAAACTATAATCCATAAATGTAAGGTAACAACTGAGACCTAATGGTGCTGTGACAGCAACGCGATTGAGTTTTAGACAGTTAAAAGTACATATGGTATGTTGTATCTGAACAGGTTAGCTTACGAGCTAAAGTTACTTAGCACGGATGAAAGTTAAAGAAGTTTAGCAAACTGTTAAAGCACACAAACCATCATCAATGAGAAATCCGACGCTATGACTCTCCACAAGTTGTCCTTCAGGTCGTTATTTTTGTAATGTTTGTGTTTTTTTATCAAAAAACACTCTGTTCTCCGACACATATAATCAGCCGATCGGCCATGTTGGATATACCAGTGAATCAGACACTGATTCAACAACATGAAATCTGATTGGTCAGAAGTGGACACACAGTATGCAAAATTTTAACAAAAAATCGACCGTGAAACGAAAAATAAATGCTGCAATGTCGCAGGACGGTAAAATGTCGCTGATGTGAACGCTTGTATTGACAGGATACGGGTTTAAAAAAAAATATTGACGTCTGAAATAATCGCACGAAAAAATCGCTTGCGGTGTGAAAAGGACCTTAAGTCTCAACAGTTTGTTGTTTAAATAGGAAGACGATATTCTGAATCCACAAAAAGAGGACACGTCTACACAGGGGCAGAGTCAATTTCAAGATTTTTTCAAGTCAGGTCAAGTGTTTTTTATGCACTTCTAACTCAGTAAGTCCATACGACACATACTCAAAACTTCCATACAAAACCTCTGACATTTAAAGGATTTTATAAACTCTCCAAGACAAGGCTGGACAGGCCGGACAGGCCGGACAGCCCCTCGAAAAGAGGACATGTCCGGGTAAAAGAGGACGTATGATCACCCTAATTTAAACATAATCACGAGCCTTGCCTGAACAAAACCACTGTTTAAAATAAGAAAAATCCTGACAACACTGCCAACAAGAGATGGTAAAGCATATTTCATTCAACACAACAATCATTTGGCAAGTTCTTGAAATCATTTTCAGCCACAGATAGCTACTGTGTAAAACTGGCAGCACTACCTTCAATATTGCATTCGCCCTCTTAATAGCACAGACAGAAAAAATGTGAATTCATCCAGCAGCCTGGCTCCCACTGTCCACTTTTGGTTTACACTGTATGGATTCCTCACTGAGGTGTTGACTGCTAGATTCATAAATACACCAATGTAGGGTGGATGTAAGGTTCACACGGCTACACGAAACTACAGTAATGGTGCTCTGGTCCTTTAACATATGTTTATACCATAAAACATACTCTGTATATATATTTTCACTGTATATATCATACGCTGTAAGTTAACACAGCTCTGTTTGTGCTGCAAGAACAAGTTATGATTTTGTTTAAGTGATATTACGCTGCAAAGAAAAGATCCATGTCCATTCACATGATTGTTTCGAGGACTAACACCAACTTACAGTCTGGAAACTTCCCAAATAATGACATTGGTGTTTGTCCAATGATTTATATGTGTCTACGTTTTTTTATGCTTTTCCTTCTGCAGCATCACTCACAGTTATTCCATCTTTTTTCCAGCTGAGTACCTCCCTTATTTCTGCTCGATATCACACACATAAACCAACAACAGCACAAGCACAATTAAAAGTAACTTTAGCCATTATGTTTGTGTTAAGTTCACTTCATAATTTGTGTAACCTCATAGGCTGTGTGTCAGTAGCTACAGACAGTCATCAAACACACATAAATATTTTAAACAAACCTTTATAAAATGTTGTGGTTGTGAAATAGCTTCAAGATCATCATTGTCCAGTAAAACTGATATTGTAAGGACGAGAAAGTAGTGTTATTCTCACTACCTGACAAGGGCTGTAAAGGACATTATCTCATTTCAAAACAGTGAGGATGAGGAACACAGATGTACAAAGGTGATGAATCAAGCCCATTCACTCAGTCACCTAATAGCACTACATAAAATTGCATAACGGTGAAACTGAGACATTTAGTGCACACTGTCCTCTCATTACAGAATATAACAAATTTGACTCATGGATTTTCAGAATGATCGGGGTCATTCATAGAGACATTATAGCTCTCAGGTCATGATTAGAAAACAAGAAAAACTACAAATCCAACTGTTGTTAGTGTTCACTCGTCTCTGGTGTCTGCTCATTCCTCTGGCATAAATTACTACACAGTATGAACAGAGACATAATGACATGATCCAAGCCTCAACACTTTGGCATTATACTCCCTGTCAAAGGCAGCACACTAGTCCAGATGTACTGCTTTAGGAGAGAGGTGTCTCTTATTACACCCATAACAATCTCAGACGGGATAGTAATGTCATGTTGGCCTGTGGCAAGGCTCCTCCATTGTTCTCCGCGGGATGTTTATAGCTTTGTGCCTGATATACGATAACCAATAAGAAAGAAGTAGTAATTACAAGGCCCACACTCCGCCGGATTGCCTGATGAATGTGTGAAATAAAAGATGGGGGGTTCTTTGCGGAGGCTAGTTATTACAAAGACATCCTGCGGTTTGACACACAGCAGTATTATGCCAGAGAAAGCTATGAGGAGAAGAAATAAATAGCATATCTCCATTTCTCTGACCAAATGGCAAAGAAAATACCATTGACCCTCTTAAAATAAATCAGCTGGAAGCCAACAAATGTTAAAATCAAAATATAAAATTGTGCATATTCCTATTATTTCCCCATTTTCCATTCAGGTCTTCAAGAAATAACACAATTAGAGGAAATAAAAACACATAAAGAAAGTAACCTAATGTAGGGTCTGTGGATACAGAGCAGCGGTTTGGTCAGACCATGTGTCTCCTTAAAATCCAGAATCACCAAATTCAGTGTACCTGGTTGTCTCTCTCTAGGCTAACCCCAGTCAGTAACTGGTGCTCAACTTACCTCATCATTTCTACTGGAGAGAGTCTTCACACACAAAAAAATATCCGTGATAAAATCCACAGCTATTTCTGTTTCCTTTTACAACTTTTTCATGGGTAAAAAGCAGTAAATGTGTTTTTAAATATCACTTATCTGCATCTGCTGTGTGGCGTCAGGCAGACAGTCTGGACCTGTGATCTGTGTGTGAGAGCTAGAAAGTCAAGTTTTTCCTCAAAGAAAGTCATTAAATGTACAATTAGACTCCCACACGATAGAAATAATGAACTGACATTACTTTTATCAAGTAGCACCAGGTGCCATTACGTAATAATGTGTGAATTTGAGAGACATTTTGAGAGGTGTGTAGCTTTTATTACGGTTTCCAACTGTCTGTTTTTCACTGCGAGGTGATGCATCACTTCTAATAGCTCCCAGTGATGTAGCTACTCTTTCGATGCAAGGTCTTTCATCCATGGACAGTACACATCGTACACTATCATGCTTCCTTATTTGATGATCACTTTTGAATATTTAGCCACAAATCAGTTTGCTTTACAAGAGTTACTTTACCTCAACCCTCATTGTTCAAATCGAAGGTTGAGCTCACAATTATGCAACGCGCTGTGAGAGGCAAATCTCGATCAAGCGCTCCAACTGTAAGGGTCTCTGTAATTAAGATACTAATGTCTTCTGATATGAGCTGCTTACCTTGAAGAAGGCTATCTCTCTGATTCTAATCTGAGGCCTTCTAAGGGCACACTCAGGCTTCTCCGAACCCTCTTCGGTGACCTCTTGTCTTTGAAGTGAGAACTTGAAAACGTTTAAGTTGAAAGCTTGCCTTGCAGTAATGGAACTTCAGTCAAAGCATTTCTATTTGATTCACCAAAAGCTCGGGCGCTGACGTACAATAAGATATCATCTCAGAGTCTGGAATGCATTTCCTCCCCCGCTCGATCAGGCTTAATTTGAAGTTGGAGGATTTTTTTTTTCTACCTGAAGCCAAATCTGATAAAGCTCTACAGCAAACTCTGCCTTCATCTGGCTCAATTTGTTGTCAAGAAAGAGCGAGAAAAGATTTCCCTTCATAAGGCAGAGTTACTTATAGTCTGATAACACAAATTACAGTATTTAAATGTCGGTATTTTCATACATCATTGAACAACATCAAAATATGAGATACTTTTTTAAAGGTGTTGTTGTTTGAGGGAAAGATGCTTAATTTCCTTACGGGGAGAGGAGAGTAACTATGTTGATACCAGTGTGATTCCTGTTCACTGAGGGCTGGTAATGCAACTAACCCAACAGATATTTCTCACAACTCATTATGTAAAAAGTAAACAAGTTTGCTACAACTTGGTAGTGATTATAGGTTATGTTTTGTAGTTGGATTTTGCCCCCTTCAGACAGACCAGAGAATCTCCCACAACTTTTTTGGCCTTTTTTAAGTAGCTTTCCATTTTTCTACTTTACGTGCAAAAGATTTTCATGCTTATATCTCAGTCAGCAGTGATTTAAATGCCAGAAAAAACAAGCTGCTCTTAGATCAGACAAGTGCAAAACTGCCTTCAGTAGTGTTTTATCACAGAGGCTAATAGAGACAGCATGCAGTTGACAGCCAATTCAGTCCTGCAGGGCGAGAGGCCAAAATCCTTGAGTTCCTCCCCTGTTTGAGAAAAGATCAAATGCTAAGTGTAACAGCTGTGAAGCTGCAGGCTCTCTCCATTCAGCCACTAGATGGAAACAATAGTCCTCTGCCCTGTACAATCACTGATGCACCCAGCATGCAATGTCTGGTTTATTCCCTCCATCATACTCATTCAAATCCTCCTGTTTTGGTATACACTGAATATGTGTCTTTGTGTTTTTACAGACACCATCCTTTAAGCGCTCTGCCCTGCTGAAGTGACCTCAAGCGAGGCAGTGAAAACCCTCAACCAGCTTTGTATTATGGCACAGAGCTGACCTGCGGGGCTCTATAAAGTTTCACATTATACTGCACGAAAACATTAGCGGAAAAATGGTGACAGAGTAATTATGAGTCAGCAACAGTAAAACACCACAGGGACTATCATTTTACAAGAGGTGCTGGCTTCTTTCTGCCATTATGCGGGGTAAAATAAACTATTCAGTGTTTGACTCACAGCAGCAGAAGTTTTTTTTTTAAGGTTAAGATTCAGGGGGGACCTTTTTAGTTTTCTTGAGCAGTTCTTATAATGTCAGGGATTATAACGTTTTTATCTGATGGCTATTTTCAAGCTGGTTACTGACTGCAAAGGGGATAGAGATGACATGTTGCATTCACTAAAGTGTTGTTCTAAGGACCACCTAAGCGGATGCATATGTATCATAAGTATTTTCAAATCACTTTTTATTCCAGTGCATTTCAGTTGAACAAATGTATCTGAATTTTGTGTTTCCTTTGCTGAGTGCTGTTTTGAAAAAAAGTTTGAAACACAGTTTTCAGGTTGACACTTATTTATTACTCCAATCTATATTAAACTGTGTGATAAATCAAATATGACAAGACTATGAAGTATCTTGCTGCCTATGGTTATTCTTCATGAATGCTGAGGAGGTTGAAGTACCTATAGCCTCATTTGTTGTCATAAATGTTCAGGGAGGAAATGTTAAAGGGCCTGGTGGTGTCTGTACATTGAACCAATCTATAAATCTTTGGTTTTGAACAGCAGATCTGTTTGTCAACTTTCTTTTTGTAGAATTAAAATGAAATATAGAAATAAAATAGTTTGCAAAACAATATAAGGCATTTTTTTTTTCAACCAAAGAGAAAAGAAAAATAAAGAAGAAAAAAGAGAAATACATTCAGAAGCCAGTATTCATTTTGATCCCGTAAAATAAAAATACAAGATCAAAGTAGTGACACCAAAGGCTTGCAAGCTGTATTTTTGCCCTGGTGCCTGACAGCAGGTTACTGGGTATATGTAAAAGTGATTTTGAATGCAATATTATTCTTTTTTACATGCTCAGGCCTAACTCACTCATGCAAAGGTCTGAGTATGAGCTTAGAGCAAAATAAAGGGCCATTCTGCAGAAAGAACAGGGATGGGGTCAAAGGTTATTCTCACTTTTTAAGAATAAATGTATGCTACATTCAGAGCCGGCCAAAGGCATAAGCGAAAAAAGCGCCTGCTAAGGGCCCCGCGGCCAATAGGGGGCCCCCAAGAGCAATAAAAAACAAAAGTTTTAAAATATTTTTTTATTTTTTTGCATGTACAAGTGATGCTTTCTGTATGATCAAATATATACTATATTAAGAATAAAATAAAGTAGAAACATTTTAGTGCTGCTGCTGATGTAGTCCTATGATTCAAATTGCCGATATGTCAAAGCTCTGCTTCCCTTATGTGCCTTCTGCTGTGCAATGTGCACTGAGCATCCAAAGCACAGGTAGTTGTGGGGCAAAACAATGTCGCAAAAAAGATAAAGGTATGTTTGCATGTCATGGAAAGGTAGTCAAAGAGATTTGTAAGGGTGTGTGAATGATCAGCAATCAATATTACTGGCAGAAATAGGGGGCCCCAAAATCAAATTTTGCTCAGGGCCCCGTTGAGGCTTGGGCTGGCTCTGGCTACAATAGCTGGATAACTTTATAACTTGCCAGTGTTCATAAGTCGTGGCTTCCTTTAGCTTTAGTAAAGTAGACTGCATAAGTGCACAGTGAAAAATCTTCATCTTTTGTAAATTGGTTGGGACCCCAGACGACATCCTACTGCGGTTTTACTTGACTTTATAAATGATTAATGGTTTATATCCAGGAATTACTCCATATTAATATCTCGGGCCCCTTCAAAGCAGAAATGTCAGCGGTATTTGACGGTCCTCCAGCATCTGTCTGATAATTTTCCTTGTGTGGTGCTGCCGGTTGAAACGTGAGCGTCACGGAGCACCCACCGACCCACCCCCTCCTCCTCCTCCCTGTCTCCCCCTGACTGGAGTCCCACTGAGCGGCTCTCAAACTTCAGTGTCGAGCCTGAAAGCGAAGAACGAAGAGCAGAGAAGGAGCCGACAGACAGACAGACAGATAGACAGACAGTCGAGAGTCGCAGCTAAACGGCGTCTTCGGAGCCGCAAACAGCCGCTTTGATGTCTGCTTAAATCAACGGCTGCTGACGGTTGCCTCGAGGATTTAACGTTCAGCTCCCGGTGTGAGATTTTGATGCTTTTTTTCACCATAGTTAGTCGAAGTTTTCGACTATCACGACTTTGTTACGGACCTTTTTTATCGTCTATCTGTGGGATTAATCATTTTAAATCAGGACTTAACAATTCAACAATTAGCTACTTCTCGTGTGTGGCTGTTCTCGGAGTGTTTTTCGTCCAGAGCTAACGGTAAAGGCAACATTACGACCCGCTTTCGCCATGGGGAAATAGCGGAGCGTTTCTCTCTCAAACCGACCCCGTGTTTTTGACTCTTTCATGCTCTATTTCAGAAGACAGAGTCGACTTTTGACTTTAAGAAAATGAGCATGGATGGTTGTCCGCTGAAGGTAGCGATTTTTTTGTGGTGTATGCTGGTGATTTCTGGCTCCAGCTTTGAAATCGGCTCCTACGACCTGGAGCGTGGCAGACCAGCCAAGTGCGAGCCCATCGTGATTCCCATGTGCCAGGGGATCGGCTACAACCTCACCCGGATGCCCAACTTCATGGACCATGACGACCAGAAGGAAGCTGCCATTAAGCTCAATGAGTTTGCCCCTCTTGTGGCTTATGGTTGTGATGTGCACCTTCGCTTCTTCCTGTGCTCGCTCTACGCCCCCATGTGCACGGACAAAGTGTCCACCTCTATCCCCGCATGCAGACCCATGTGTGAGCAGGCCAGGGAGAGGTGCGCCCCCATCATGAAGAAGTTCAGCTACACCTGGCCGGACTCGCTCGACTGCTCCAAGCTGCCCACCAGGAATGACCCTAATGCTCTGTGTATGGAAGCCCCTGAGAATGAAACCAGGACTGAGGGCAAAAAGGGTGAGGGTATGCTTCCTGTTCCCCCTCGACCCAGGCAGCCGGGTACCACCAGCGGGCGCTCCCCGGGCAGCTCCTGTGAGAACCCGGACAAGTTTCAGTTTGTGGAGAAGAGCCAGTCCTGTGCTCCTCGCTGCTCCCCGGCTGTAGACGTGTTCTGGTCTAGACAGGACAAGGACTTTGCCTTCATTTGGATGACTGTGTGGTCCATTCTCTGCTTCGTTTCCACTGCCTTCACTGTCCTAACCTTCCTCTTAGAGCCTCACCGCTTCCAGTACCCTGAACGCCCCATTATCTTCCTGTCCATGTGCTACAATGTGTACTCTGTGGCCTTCATCATCCGCTCTGTGGCTGGAGCGGAGAATATCGCCTGTGACAGGGAACACGGCGAGCTCTACATCATCCAGGAAGGACTGGAGTCAACAGGCTGCACCATCGTCTTCCTCATTCTTTACTACTTTGGCATGGCTTCCTCAATCTGGTGGGTCATCCTCACCCTCACTTGGTTCCTGGCTGCGGGAAAAAAGTGGGGCCATGAGGCTATAGAAGCCCACAGCAACTATTTCCACATGGCAGCTTGGGGCATCCCCGCTCTGAAGACCATCATTATTCTCACAATGAGGAAGGTGGCTGGGGATGAGCTGACAGGGCTGTGCTATGTGGGCAGCATGGACTCTGGGGCACTCACCGGTTTTGTCCTCATCCCTTTATCCTGCTACCTGATCATTGGCACTTCCTTCATCCTCACCGGCTTTGTGGCACTCTTCCATATCCGCAAAGTGATGAAAACAGAGGGCACCAACACAGAGAAACTCGAAAAGCTTATGGTGAAAATTGGCATCTACTCCATTCTCTACACCGTGCCTGCCACCTGTGTAATCGTCTGCTACTTCTATGAAAGACTGAACATGGACTACTGGAAGCTGAGGGGGCTGCAGATGAAGTGCGGCTCATTCAACAGCCTGAGTGGGGACTGTGCGCTGCAGACATCAGTGCCCACGGTGGCTGTGTTCATGCTGAAGATCTTCATGTCACTTGTGGTGGGCATCACCAGTGGGGTGTGGGTGTGGAGCTCAAAGACCCTGCAGACCTGGCAGGGCCTGTGCAGCAGAAAGCTGGCAGACAGGACTAGAAGCCGGAAGCCGTGCAGTGGCGTCAGCTGTGGCAGCACACACTGCCACTACAAATCCCCTGCTGTGGTTCTGCATATGGCCAAGACTGACCTGCACTCAGACAACCCCACACATGTCTGAGACAGAGCATAACACACACACACACATATGCGCACGCACACAAAAACAAATAAACACACTCACACACACACTGCCAAATGCAGACACTCTCTCACTCATACACTCATGCCCTGAGTAGGGAGCTGCTAAAGACTTTGTGAGAAGGACTGAACTGTCAGGTACAGCTCTGCTGCTGCCAAGGGACACACAGGCATCACTATGAGATACTATCTATAAACAGTATTCAGTGCATAAAGGGAAATGTTCAGTATTGTTACCTATATTTTTCTGTTCATAGTGTTCTGTGCAGTAGACATGCCCAGTGTTTCAAAGCAAAAAAAGAGCCTGTTTTTGGAGGTATCTTGGGAAATATTAGTCTTTTCTCCTCCTTTCAAGTGGCATGATTATGTGTATAAATCTGTATAAATGTTTTATTTATTGTAAATATATTTAATTTAAAGTTCACCTTATCAGATTTGTCGGTTAGATGCATTTATGGAAGCTAAAGGGAAATTAAGTGCCTTTTATAAGAACTCTGGTTTTGGCCTTTTTTTTTTTTTTTTTGAGAGGAAAATAAATTTGTGGAATACATGTTCAGCCACCTTGTGTTATTGTTGTCATTTTGCTCACTATCTCTTCGTAGCTCATCATGAATACTTAACCCCAGACAGACTGAGACAGTCTCAGATCTTATAGTCACAAATGATTTCTAATTTCAGTCTTGTTTTCCTGATTTTTCCTGCCAATCTTCTCCCAAGATTCTCTTTTAAAAAATTAAAAAATCTTACTGCAGGACTCCCCCACCAAATGTGTTGTCTTCCAAGAGCATGCTGCACATCCCAGAGGCGTCCCCGACAATAATCCTCAAAGAGAATTGCTGATGAAAAGAGTGACAATCCCAGCAAGCGTTAATGTTTGCATCATCGTCTTAAAAATGCAGGAGCAGTTTGCGGAGGAATATATTTAATTAATGGCTGTTTTAATCCCTCTGCAGATTCACTGTTGTTGCCCTCTCTCACTGCTCCATTTGATCCCTGTGCAAACACTCAACACTTTGATGTGAGAGGACAAATCTGAAGTGGATTTCAGCCTTATTGCATGACTTCACTGGGAGATTTAAGCTAAGCGCAAACACTCAAAACTGTGGTTGTTCATTGAGTAGACGGATTATTATCTTAATATCTAAATTTGTGGTTTGTTGCTCTTGGAAGATGCATGTCTAATATAAATTAAGGGTGTACTACCGCGCAATGATTCGAGTTTTTATGTTTTAATTGTTGAATTTGTTGCACTGCGAGGCTTTTATGCATAACAGAACTGTCATTGAATAAATACTCTACATTAGAAGTATGCAACTAACATTTGAGTAATAAAGTCCATTTTATGATACACAAGAGCGCTTGTGTTCTCAGGCAGTCTATAAAAAGTGAAAATAAATAGCTTTTACACTTTGGGACTTTTAACAATTTAAGTGCCAACACAAATTGCAGCACAACTTGGTGGAAATGACTGTGTTTGACAGCAGTGAAATTGATTATTATGTCTGCTTGTGTAATTGTGTGCTGTGTCACCTCCCGCAGCAGCAGCAGGAGCAGGAGCACATGGGAGTGATAGCATGGAAAAAATGTGATGACCAGGAGCTTGTTTTCATTACACTGACTGAAACCTCGGCACTGTGAGGCAGGCGTGTGCTGGCTGACATCTCCAGAGGTTAAAAGCTGTTTGCTTTCCATTTTTCCTCCATTTGTAAAGTCTGACTCGAGTTGTGTTCAAATTCAAGTTGTTCTACAGCTTGTTTCACATGAATCTGTCGTTCATTTACTAAAAAACATAACACTCGTAATCAAACTTGTAGTGGATTAACCACATTTCCACTCGCTGCGGCATTGTGTTGATCTGTGTAACGCCTGAGTTAACTTCAATTACTGATTCCTTCCTCCTGCAGAACAAGATGTGTGTTAACTACCAACATCCTCCCCCTTTTTGTTTTCATTTCACAGCCATTGTAGACGCTGTCCATTGCTTGGCAGGCGAGCGCAGCGACTCCTGGACTCTGACACTGTGGATCACATTTAACTATTAAATAGGGCTGTTTTACTTGGAGCGCACTGACTGACTGTTTCAGCCACATGTTCCAGTTCATGGGCGCCTGAACAGGGGCGCGTGCTTCCTCCCCAGTTTACACTCCAGTGACACGACCCGGAGAGGCCAAACACTTGCTCTGTGAGACACAAACCAGCCTGTCCCACCTGCACTGATTAGATAGGAAGGTTGGAGCCGCAGAGGGTTAAATACATGGAGGTAGTGCAGAGGGCAGTGTTTTGTTTAAACTTTTATTTCCTTTCTCAGCGTTTCTTTTCTCATTTTCCTGCCATTTTTCGCATGCCTTTTTCTTCTTTTTCCATGTAGTGCTGAGTACAACCAGGACAGACTAGAAGAAAACTACCAAGGTGTACAGGAATGACTTATTATAACAGCAACAGGGTGTCTTCTACTCTGCTCTTTTACTCTTTTTTCCACAAGTATGAATTCTATCACTACATTTCCAGGTCACTGACAGCTATTTTTAGCTCCTCTCTTTTTTGCAGAGGAAAGGAATCACACACAGCTTCAGATATAGAGGCAAGAAAGAGACTCATTCCAGAAAAACTGAGTTTGTTTGAGCTGTGGTTCCTTTGGCGCCGGAGATGTGGCTGCCGGGAACACCTTCACTTCACACTCACACACACACACACGCACACACACACCTGAGGTCTGCAGAAGAAGCAGCCAATCGACACTGAGCTTGTTCAGAAGAGGACCCCACCTCATCTTCTAGTAATGTGCAGTTTCAGGAGTTAGTAAGCTCAGCCTTGCTCAAAAGATTTAGCTTGGCTGAGCCTCCACGCTGTTTTTCTTCTCCTCTGGCTCAGGAGGTTAAATAGTGTCAGAGTCAGTTGCACTGACTTTGTCTGGGCCAGAAGTGAGACTACTCCCACAAAAGGCAACACTTTTCTAATAGGCTCCTCAGCAATATTTCCTTGGGTAGACTGTGAGCTTAAAAGTGTATTTATTAGTTCTGATTCAACACAGAGTGGGTTTATTGACCCAGGATTTGCACGATTTGTTTTCTATGAAAAGGTGTAAAAACACCTCAGAGGTTATCCTGCTTTCGCTGCTGACTCCTTGTTTTTGTCTGTTGGGGAGAAATCCCTCCATCTGGTTGTGGGTCTGATTAAAGGCGATCATTAAAGCATCAATGTGCCTCCCTCATAGACCTAAACCTCTGCCCGCCCCTGAGGGGAAAAAAAGAGAAAATAAAGCATCCTTCATTACGCCGCCCCCCCCTCACCTCCTACTCCTCCTGCAGTCCCTCTCCCCCCTTGAGCACTATCCCTTTCCTGTGCTGTTTTGATGTGTAAATGAGCGCATTGAAAACCTGCAGGCCCCCAAAGAGATGCTTTCCATGAAAATGCGGCAGTCAGAGAGCACAAGAGTTCACACAGCTCGCCACTCCTCGCAACTAGACTCCAATCAGACGCACAGTATGGCTGCTGCTGTCCTACAAACACACAATCGCACAGCCACATGCTGACTCACATCGCTATGCAGACATAAACATTTACACGGGGAGGTAAAAAGTTGCACAGGCCAGTTTGAAGTGACTTTTTTTTCTTTTTTCTTTTTGGTTGAAACGAGGATTCAGTTTCAAGTGTGTGAGGGGAAAACAGCAGCTGAAATAGTTCTGTAGTATCTATCACGTCCCTGAAATGAAAGCGCGCAGACTGAGATTAAAAGTCTGTTTTGGAGTACAGAGGATCTCTGTGTTGTTCAGTGTCTTTGAATTTCAGAAGCAACTGCGGAGGGAGACACACATTAAGATTTTTTATTCTCTTCAATAAATGATGTTGTTATCTAATCAATAGCCGCACATCTACCAGGATTTTACGTTTAGTTACATCAAATAAGTAATATGTTTTATGCGAATGAATTGTCGGTTCATACACGGTTTATTTCTATTCCCAGGTTGACTTAGCAGTAGAAATGTCCGTTTTTCTCCAACGTTCTTGACATTATAGTTGAAAGGGTTAATTGCCACAAGAGTTTGAAGAAAATGAGACTTTTCAAAGAAAGACTGTGGGTAGAAATATCTATCCTAACAGGCTGATTTTTGTTCATTTCAAAGACAGGCTGGACTGTTAATATGAGGTTTCTTTGGTGAGGATGTTGTGGTGAATTAGTAACCTAACCTGACCTGAAAACCCTAATTTTTCAGTCTCCACTGCCAGAATTTTATCCCTCTTTCTCGATATAAAAAAGAGTAACGCCTGAGTCAAGTTAATCCTTCAATGAAACTCTCACCAAGAGTGCGACACAGGATTTGTCCTTTTAATGAATCATGCATATTTTAAATGATCTTACAGCATACAACACCCCCCTATCCTCAGACCCTTGACCTTTCATGCCCCCTCTGTGCTCAAGAGTTTAAGACAGTAATCCCTTTTATGAGTTTCAGGAAGAGCACGGAGCAGGGATGCCTCTTCCAGGACACACAAAGAAATGTTTTATTCACAAATAGACAGAAACAAAAAGATAAAATGACACTGTGATAAGGATCTGAAACATGTGAGCTCTGCTGAACAAACCCTGGATCTATATTTCAGACGTGGAGCTGGAGCAGTCAAAAATGAAAAACGAGGCAGACGAAATGAGAGCTACTAAAAATGGAAATGTTTTTGCATCATGGTTTCAGAAAATTTGGATTTTATTGCATGATGCTGAAGGCTTAATCTACTGTCAGGACATCAGAACCACATAACCTATCCTCCTTAAAATACTGAAAACTTTGAAACAACTTTTGGCACCTAAAAGCTCATTTCTAAAAGATCCACTCGGAATTTTTCATGACATGCACATGCTTTTCTCGAAAAGCTTGTATTTAGACACCCAACGAATTACTGCAACATTCTGTCAAAAGATGCAGATCAAAAAAAAGACACCGTGCAGGAGAAAAGGCCAGGCAGATTATTTTAAGAACAGTGCAGGAGGAGAAAGTTTTAAGAAAAAGTTTGCAGCTTTTAGCTGTATCTTCTTTTTTTTCAGTGTTTTTTCATGTTCTTTGATCAATAAGCAGAAGACAGAGAAGTAAAGCTCTCTCATCCCTCTGTACTCATTCCTGCGCTGCGTCTGCCTGTGGCTGAAGGAGAGATGAATCAGTGAACAGAGGGAGGTTCCGCCGCTCGCGCTCGCTCTCTGAAGCCAACAGCATTGCTGTGATCACTGTTAATCTCCTTTGCCACTCTGCTGCCATCTCCTCAAATACATTCATCTCATTTCCAGTACTGTTCACAGCCTCTTCTTCCTTTCTAATTAGACACCGTCAAGATTTCAAAAGTCACCCTTTGGTTTCCTGCAGCAGGCGAGATCGCTCTTTGAGCCAGGGGGTCAGTGATGGCAAGTATTTGTTTGAGGGTTAAATCACAGCAGGCCTTTCATCATGTTGTTATGTTGCACGATCAGAGGCTTGGGATTATGTAGGTCAGACGTTGGAGAGTGAGAGAGCCCCTTTTGTAGCTGCCATTTTTATTCAGTTGCTAGGCAGCACCCGCTCTAATCTCTTGTACCAAAGAGTCTCTCCCCAGAGAAAAAGAGGGGGAGCAGGAGTTACAAAGGACGAAAAAAATGTGAAAACAGCATCAACAAAGAACACAAACCCATGCAATGACTGCTTTTAGAAGCCCTCCAAAGGGAGGGAGTGGAAAAGGACAGGATGTGGGAGTCTGAGCTTGGCCCTGAAAGCTACTCTGGCCCTCCTGAACATCTTTAAACCTCTGTGTTTTTGTTTGTGCCATTGACTGAACAACTAAAGAACCATCAACCAATCACACAACTTCAACAGCAGCGACACTCACAACCCAAATCTGGGCCACTTTGGAGGGAAAATATTCAGATGTTTGGGTATTAAAACTTGTCATCTTTCAACTCTTTAAGTCCAGCTTTTAAAAATAAGTCAAATTTGATGTGAGTCAGATTTGTGACAAAAAGTTGTTTGTCAACAGGAACCAAAGATGGATCAGAACCGCACGGATCAGATTCAGGGCTGGGTTGTCTGGCAAGTGTGTCTGCTGTCACACCCCTGCTTCCCCCCCTCCCATCCTAAATGTGCTCATGTCACGCTCCGCCATCAAAGGCTCACCCCTCGGCTCTGTGTTCAGAGAGAGGAGGCAGACACCCCCCCCCCACACACACACGCACTGATCTCCCCCTCCCACCCCGGCCCCAGGCTCGGTAAGGATCTGCTATTCTCCGTTGCATTTCACGCCCTTTGATTTGGAGTTTTGAAGTTTGTTCTTGTCTGGCTTTTTTTCCTTCTCTCTTTTTTAGACTTGCTTGTGTTTCATACTGACTGTCGTGATTCTCAAAGTTTTCAGATGACGTGCGCTCTGCGAACTTGGCACTGTGGCCCTGCTGGCACCAAACCTGCCCTAATCACTTCTCATACACCTGCTTTTACAAAGACAGAGTGAGATAAAACACTTCTGTGGGAGTGGAATTATTTATGTGTCTTTTACCAATATCTGATACAAAAAGACTGACATGAAAGGAAATGTGCTTATATGTACTGAAACTTACTGCCTTGTCTGTCAGTAAACATAAAGAGAGACTGCACTCAGCAGCCAGAGGGCTTCAATATATTCACTGGAAATGTGACTCCTCCAAAGCAGTTTAACTATGTACACTTTTACATCCTCTGTTCAACACTGGGTGATTTCTGTCTGTCTCATATCAGAGATAAGGGTTTAAGTCCTTCTATTGCTCGGCCAAAGTACTAAGAGAGGTGTGAAAAGGCCAAAACAACGTCACTGTGGTCACTGTCAGCACAATCGTACACGTGGCATGCTTCCATAATGCTGTGCTGCAGTTTTAAAGCATGCTAATAATACAACATTGAGGTTACAATGTAAAAGAGATACAAGACAGTGAGTATTTACAAGAATATAGGAAACAAACCCTAATCAAAATTGGATGCATTGTCATTTAAAGCTGCAGTATGTGGAACAAAGCAGCATTAAACAGGGAAATGAAATATGATATTCATTAGTAGGTTAACATTAGTGTAAAATAGGGTGACCAAACGTCCTCTTTTACCCAGACATGTCCTCTTTTTTGAGGGCTGTCCGACCTGCCCGGCCTTGTCTGGGGGAGTTTATAAAATTCTGTAAATGTCTGGGGTTTTCTTATGAAAGTTTTGAGTTTGTGTCGCGTGGACTTACTGAGTTAGAAGGGCGTAAAAAAGACGCGACCCGACCCAAAAAACTCTCAAAATTTACGTAGTGCGACTCTGTGACTCTACCCCCTTGTAGTGTCCTGAAATGTCCTGTCTTGAAAATGATAATGTTTTTAAATCTAATTAAGCCCTTTATCAAGATATAGCTGCACTTTAAACAAAAAGGAAATCTCAAGTGGTATGCGTTGGCTGCACAGTAACTATCTACAGAGCATGTAAGGTGAAGTTTATACTCACTAACAAAGACACTGTGGTATGAGCGTTGAACTTTAAGCCACCAGCTTTGTTTCTTGTACTGGCTGTGTTGCTAATGACTTACTCAGACTTGTAGCTTTGTTTTGAATGAAGAGCACACTTGTAAAAAAAAAAGACACTTTACTGCATGAGTGATGCACATAATGAAACATTACAGACAAGAACCCTGCCATGAAAAAAGACATAAAAGACCTTAATCCTAAATGCACTACCAAGTATATCCAGGTTTTATTTCACATACTTTTATATTTTGATTTAAGTGTCAATTTCTAGTCATCCTGTTTTATTGCATCTTGTCATTTTGCCATCATGAAACATACTGTATGAAGTATTTTGTTATACCCAAACCTATGAATGTTCATCAGATGCTTGTTACTTATTGACCATTTGACACTGATTGGTCAAAATCCCATAACAATGGAAAACACCAATCAGACACCTTATGTGAAATTGGCATATTTCACCTAAGCTAATGTCACTGAGAAAAAAATAAAAATAATAACAATAACCGTAATGAGAATTTTCAAGTGTTAGACAATGTGCTGGTTTCTATCTCACACTGAGAAATAATGACACTTCCCAGACAAAGATGTGAGGGCAGCAGTGAGCGGCGGAGCTCCAACCGTCTCTGACAGAGAAGTTGAGTAAGCTGTTGTCCTGCAATCCAAGGAGCTGTCATCAAAATGTGATCAGATGTGCCTGCATTGTTCAAGGAAGGCAAACAGCAAAAAAAGAGAGCTTTCTTCAAAGCAGTTCTTTGAAAGATATGTATGTTATTAGATTTTGAACAAAGTTTGACAACAGGTTTTTCAAACGCTTGAGTTGGATAATCTCTTGTCCTCCAGGTTTTTCTGTAGCATCAGGATAATCAACATACTACTCCAAGCAGAAAAAGGGAAAAGGCGTATTTGAAAAGAAATGAAAGTTCACACTACTCGTATGGCCTTGTCATCAACTGTATAGAAAGAGCTCATACAGCCTTAAAGTTTGTGGCCAGAGAACAACTGGCATGCCTTACGCACGAGTTAAAGAAGCAGAGAGTTACTTTGGTTTATTCAAAGATGTAGACTTGAGTTCACAGTTGTGTTTCAGCTTCATTTAGTATGTTTTTTGTGCTTATCATATCAAGAGGTAAAACAAGTTAACTTGTTAGATTGAGGTGCTGGCAGGTTGACTTTTTGTACGTTTTATCGGGCCAGTCTGGCTGTTTTAATTCATAGTTA